AGTATACTGTTTGGAAATCCTACTTTAAACACCTCACTAAATCACAGCCTAGACATCATCCCTGTAAGTAGACCAATCAATATAAAAAATTTGAATCACTAATAAATCTTGTTTACAGGATCCTAATAACGATTATGAATTTAAACATAAGTTATACTTAAAGTAGGGTAAGCATAACTCACTTACAAGGGGGTTTAGCAAAGAGATGGTCTCTATAGGGGCAGAACTTCTGAGTCGAAAGCTCTTCTTCTCGGAGCCTTCTAGCGCTCCAGGCTTCGCCTCTAACACTTGGAAGTGCTAGGGAAGAGGAGTGGCTAAGGGGGGGGGGGGTATTTGAGAGAGAAAGAATGGTTTTGGTGTGACGAAAATGAGAGATTTGTTCCTCTATTCATAGGTTAGGAACTCCGAGTACGCGTGGCATACATAACCGGTACGCTGGGTGTACTGGAGTATGACGAGCATATAGTAAATTACGTTGGGCGTAGGTGGACAGGTGTCACCATCCAGTGGCAAGGCGTGCGGAGGAGCTAACGGTTAAGATTATGCCACGTGTCAGCCTCGCATCTTATCCCATAATTCAATTATCTTCTAAATTCCGTAACTTTCACATACGAGCTCCATTTTGACGTTATTTAATCCACACGTGGGTAGAGACGTGATCTACAACTTCCGTTTAGACTTTATCGGCTAATTTGACATTATTTTTAAAGTTATATTTTAACAGGCTTTGACAATTAAAGTCTGTTATAAAATCATAACTTTATCATCAGACGTCCATTTTTGTCTGTCTTTATATTGTTGAGCTCCTATTAAAGAGATCTTTGATTCTCGTTTAGATTTTGTTGGCGAAAAATTGATCGGTCTAAAATTCGATTCCTGGGCTGCATACTGCTATACCATATCTAAGAAAAATCATAACTTCCTCTAATGAAGTTAGATTTTGACGTTGTCTATATGCACGCTTTCAGTTTAACATATACTATGACTTTAGTTAAGATTGCTAAGGCTAAAAAGTATGTTATCACAAACTCTCTTTTTACGATACACAACGTCATGCATGTTGTGTCGCAAAACTTTTACCGGTCATAACTTCTTTGTTATAAATTTGATTTTAGCATTTCTTTTATCCCCAAAATCCTTGTTACGACCACTTCAACTTTCTTTGAAGATGTTGGGTCAAATCTTCAATCTATTTTTGATGCATATTTTTATTATTATTGTATTACATCGTTATAAGCATGTATATTGCACATAAATCACATCAATCACATAATACTCAAATGATTCCTCTTCATTCAAAATAAGTTACAATTGTTGGCCTTAATAATTATATAATAATAGCCTAGAAACGTGAACGTTGTAGTTCTCTCCTCCTTAGGAAGATTCTGCCTCAAAATCATGCATCAGTAAACAAATGTGGATAGCGACACATCATGTCACTATCTATTTCCCAGGTGAGGTGCGATCCATTCGAATGTTTCCATTGCAGAAGCACTAGTTCGGCCATCTTACGCCGCAACTTCTTTGTCTTACGGTCAACAATTGCTTCAGGATCTTCAATTAACCTCTTATTTTCATCCATCCTTAAATCAGAGTATGGAATTATATTGGGAACTTCTCCCATTAACTTCCACAAATAACACACATCAAAAGTGTTATGAATACGATCTAGTTCTTATATGAATTCTGGTGTATAATCTTGGTTCCCAATCCTCTGAAGAACCTTGGATACTCCAATAAACCTTGGACTTAACTTTCCTCTCTTTCGAAATATTATAAGTCCGTTCCATAGTGAGACTTTAAGCAATACCGAATTTCCAACTTTAAATGTCATTTTTCGTTGCTTCTTTTCAGCATAGCTGTGTTTGGCAATCCTAAGATGCCAACATCCTTTCTCTAATCACTTTAACTTTTTCAGCAGTCTGATGCACTATTTCGAGGCCCATAAACTGTTTTTCTCCTGCCTCAATCCAACAAGACGGCGTACGACACTTTTATCCATACTAGGCTTGATAAGGTTCCATCTTAATTCTCAAATGGTAACTATTATTGCAGGAAAACTCTACTAGGGGTAAATGCTCATCCCGGTTACCTTAAAACTCTATGGTATATTCTCTCAACCTATCTTCCAATCTTTGAATTGTTCTTTTGCTCTGACCATTAGTCTGAATATGGTAGGTTGTACTTAAAGGCAACTTCTTACCCATTTCCTCATGGAGACTCTTCCAAAATCTTGATGTGAAATGACTATCATGATCCAATATAATAGTTAATGGAACACCGTGAAGTCTTACTATCTCCTTCACGTAAGCATTTGCAAGCTTATCCATATACCATCTCTCATTAGCTGCTATGAAGTGTACACTCTTTGTGAACCGATCCATGACTACCCAAATCAAGTTGTGATTGTTCTTCGTCCTAGGTAGTTTAGTCACAAAATCCATGGTGATGCCTTCCTATTTACCCATGGGTACATGTGAAGGTTCTAAACTCCCATATGGTTTCTAATGTTACACTCTAACTCTTGCACATTGTTGCGATCCATGACTACCCAAATCAAGTCGTGACCGTTCTTCGTCCTAGGTAGTTTAGTCACAAAAGGGAAAAATGATCATTAGCCGACGTCTGGGAGGAATTCATGGGACGAAGCTCTGACGACCAAGTTAGAATGAGTTCATAGAGAAGTAAGAGTAAAATCACAGGAAAAAGAGTTTTGTCCCCTTCTTCATGATGAAGAAGGATCCTTTTATACCTATTTAAGAGGTGTGTGCCTCTCAACTAATTCTATTATGCATTCCATTGTGAGGTGTGACGTGGCTGACCCATATTGGAGGATCCTCCGTCATGTCTTTTTGCCTCATCTTCTCATTGGCTAGAAGGGAATCTTTAATATTATGATGATCGTGGCTATCGTCAGATGGGAAAATGGGACTCTTTAATTGATCCCGCATTTTCAGGGTGTTATTCCTTGGAGATGAGGTTAAGGCTCGGTTCTGCACCTTAACCACCATGGCAGTAATCTTTCATGTTGGCGAAGGCCCAACCTTGGCCTCGGGTTGGGTCTAACCGGGCTCTGACCAAGCCAAGCTTGGCGTTAGTTAGACTTCCCCTTTTTTACAATATCCCTGAGGGATACATTAAAAAGTCCCTTAGGCTTATAGGTGTAAGCATCAGCTTGATAGCGTCGCCATTCGGACCTATATTACAATACGTGTATGTCTGAGATTATCTCTAGCATTTGACAAGATTTAGACAGCGCCATCAATGTGTGTCAGATCCATCACGAGACGGTTCGTGATAATAGTTTTTCTTCATAATCCCCCATTTTCCCAAGACGTTTCATGCTCATCTCCTTTCTTTGCTTTTGCTGTACCATCTCGGGCATTTTATGAAAATTTATTTTCTATCATTCACCTGTTCTCGACAATGGACCATTATGGTAGAGTCCTTACTGTAGAGGAATTCCAACATCTGCAAGATCGTTTATGTTTCTTACCGAAGCACGATGTGATGATTCCGGCAAAGGGGTTATCGATCTATGACTATCCTCAAGGGAAAGTAGGGGTTCCCATCCCTTTATTTGAAGTGGGGTTGCGCCTGTCGACATATGATTTTTTCGACACAATTGTGCATCACTATGGCTTTTCCGTTGACGAGTAGACCCTAATCGTTGTCATTTAGATTGTAGGTTTTGAACTGATTTGTCGATTTCTGGGTTGTATATTTGCTTTTTGGGTTTTCAATTACTTTTTTCTTTTCAACTACGAATTATTCCGTCCGCACACTAGCGAACATGTGGGGCATTCGACAGTTAATCTCTGAACAAGATACTCCAAAGAAAAATTGTCAGAGGCAACGACTCTGGGTTAACTGAAACCTTGTGGGGCATGGGTTTTGTAAAATACGATACATTCTTGACCATCTTCCCAAGCTATTTGGGAGTAACCGAACTCTTGGCAAACGACTATGAAACATCATTGTCGTAGGAGAGAACTAGGAAGATTTCATTCTTGTCACGGCCGGTATGAGTGCCTCCTGTAGGGCTCGCTGGAAGATGATGCAAGTATTCATCGTGAGATACAGTATTCACTCATCTCCTTCTCTCCCCCACCCCCTTTAAAAGGAAAGAGAATAAGAAGAGGGGATCTTATTGGCTGATAAGTTCTTATGCTTGGTGTTTGTTTTCACAGGTGCTAAAGCTGAGACTTCCTTGGGGATGGCCCTACGTGGTCACTATCGAGGTAAGCTTTGCCATCGAGAGATCAATATTGTAAAGGATCTTCCCCCTCCCGTGTCTGAAAAATGCATGCGAGAGTTTGCTGGACTGATCTCAGTAGAAAGGAGAAATATTGGTTCTAGCGGAACTGCTTCGCCTTGCTAGCCGACTGTTGGGGTCATTTCCCAGTTCGCTTACCGATTCCTACTTCTTTTGGTTTGCCTGCGGGTGTACTAGTAGAAAAGGTACTTCCCTTATTCTAAGAAGATGAAGTTTACATGTGGTGCCAACGTCAGACAAGGAGACCGAATCCGATGCTGCAGGCCTCCGTCCTCGTAAGGTGCGTAAGACCGTATCCATAGCCAAGCTTGTTGGTGGTATTGGGTATGTTCTTGGTGATAAGTTTTATGTGCCTGCGCAGAAGTAGATGGTGGTGGTGCCTAGTTCTTCAATGACACCACCTTCGCCATTTACTGGTTCACTATCAGTTAATTTTGGCTCTGACTTCGTGTTCGGGGGTGCATTGGGCTCACCTGGAGGTTCTTTCTAGCTGGAGAAGCCTTCCACAATTGATGAAATAGGAACTTCGTCTCACTACTTATCCTTCGAGGCCTATGGTCTGGGCTCGACTATTACTACAGATTCCTTACAATCGGAATACATCACCACCCAGGAGTGGAGAAGTTTTGCTCACCGCTCGGCTATAATGACTTTGCTTGTGGGCCAATCGAGCGCTTTTATGGCGGGTGACCATCATTATATCGTGGCTTAGGCTTCTATCCTTATGGTTGCTGCCACTAATTGGGTTTTTCACGCCGACGTGAATGAAACACAGTTAAAAGCTTTGCAAGGTGCCATTGCGAGCATAAGGGAGGAACTATGTGATTCAGAGGTAGAGTGTCGATTACTTTCTGAGCAGAATTGTATTGTGGCTTGCGAGAAGGCTGCTTTGGAAGATCATGTGGCCACTTTGGAGGTCCAAATAAAGAAACTCAAAAGTCAAGTGAGTTCTCTTACTCAGCTGAAGGGTGTGCTAGCGAGTAAGTTGTCTAGGTGCCAACGTCAACTAGCATGTGCCCGTGTTAATGGTGTTGTTGCCTGAGGCATTTTGCAATAGATGCTAGAGAAGGGGGTGGTTCACGTAATTAATAAAGTTATCGAGAGCACAAAATTTTCCAGTGAGATCCAAGGTGTTCGTAAGGCGTGTGGCGTCCTTGGGTTCGAGAAGGGGAAACAACTAGGTGGTTGTTCCACCATTTCCGATGAATTTGAAGCCCTAGATCCTGTCCGTTTCGCAAGAAGGGACGAAGAGGTGGATATTGCTCTAACGTCCCTTGCTGAGATAGATTTTGCGGGCCTCTTTCATCCGGGGAGCTAGATTATGACAACTTCAACCAGTTTTGTCGTGGGCTGGGTCCGAGAAGCTCTTCCTCGGACTCCGATGAATAATTTTTGTTTGTCCCTTTTGTTCATTCTGTAATGTATTTGTATTCCCATCTACTATATGCACAGGGAAGAATACTATTTGTTAATAACCATGAACTGTATATTTTGCTTTGTATTTGGCATGTAGGTTCTCTTCCCTCTTTTTATATATATTTTGAAGTGACCTGTGCTATCTTTAAGCTAGGGTTATTCGATGTTTTTACTGTGATTCTTTTCTGCACACTCCCTTGTTCTAGGGTTCACATTAATCGGTTAATGTGTGCTTCAGTTATCGTACAACCACTACTATTGACTTATATTTCAATGATTTGTATGTTGTAATCAAGATTTTTTATGTCAATTCAGGAAATGTTGGTCAATTTTCTTGATTATACTTTGAGGTTTAGCTACCTATATACTGACAGATATTGTCACCTCAATACCTTTTACTGTTTCATTCTCAGGGGAAAGGTTATGAATCTTTTAGAACGCCTTTTATCCATTAATTGGGATTTATACATTCTTGTCCTTGAGATGCTAGTGGCACATTGTAGGTAAAGATTACGATTCTTTTAAGACCTACGGTTGCATTCTTGAATTGCTTTTGCTCAAGTAGCGTAGGTGATCAGCCGTTGTTGCTACTTGGAAAATATGCACAACCTATTTACTTTTTGTTTTTGCAATTGATTAAACATAATTCTGGAAAGCTCTTTCGAAATGCAAATTATATAAACTCTAAAAAAAGACATGAAACAATAGACCCTGAATGTTTAAGTATCAGGGCTCATGTCCGGTCTTTGCATTGGCACCTAGAGTATGGTTATCTTGTGCGGACTTTGACCATACTCCTTTTTATTGGCCCCTACTTTATTTGTCATTGAGTGTTCTGTTATGACTACCTCGTTGCGGCTATGCATCATTTCCTCATCTGCTGCAGGTGCTTCTTGATAGGTTGGGGTTTCCTCTTTTTTCCACCACCGACGCCTAACGTGAGAGAGTTGAATTTTGTCTTTCATGCTCTGGAGGGATTTTCACTTTCCCTTCTTCTTGACCCAGTGCATGCTGAGACTATGGGAAGTTCCTCCTATTGGTCGGGTGAGGGTACCACTCGTGCTTTTCTACATGCTTATCAACCTTACATTTCACATTGTCACTTTGGGTGTTTTTTAGCTCATCAGAGGCCCTTGTCGGTTCTCTTCTATAGGAAGGCTTGCTTGTTAAAATGAGTGGCACTCTACCTCTATTTTTGTTGCGCTTGGGGTTTAAATCCTTCATTCCATGGGGTTTTGGTTCATGTTTGACATCGGCCAAGATCTGCTTCAAGTCCTGAATCACTCTCTGGTAGGGCATGGCTCGGCCATCGACTGCAGGCCATGCTTTTTCCTGCGGGTAGGCACTTCTTTGCTCTGTGACTATTGCTTCATACTCTGGTTAAGCATCCTTATATCAGCGCTTATTTCTTTGTGTGGGGGGAGGTTGTGAGCCGACTGAATACATCTATTTTCCTTGTTGTAGAATCGTGGATCAACACTTGTGCTGCTGCAGATCTCTGTTGTGGATCCTCCACCTTCTGTCAACTTTTTCTTCGACACAATTGGGTTTCTTGCTTCCTTTCTCGTTGGGTATCATGTCCATTATTGGATTGGTTACCATGGAGAGTAGATGGAATCACTTGTAGCTGGAAAAGTGCTAGTCAGCCTAGTAGAATATTGTGTTCAGCCAGACGGTCAACAACTGTGAATTCGAGCACCCTTGTTGTCTGTTTTTCCATGGCGTGACTGATCAATGTAAAAGGGAGCATGATTGTTCCTGTTGGCTAGAAGTTGTAACCAGTGATCCTAACTAGCGGGCCCTGACATGGTGGCTGGAGGTGCTTTTTCCATTCAACTGGTAACCGCCAAAGGCAGTGATCATAGATCACATTGACGCTGCTTCCGTTATCGATGTACACTTGTTCAACACGGTTTTGGCTAATGAAACCGATGATGTGCAACGGGTCACTTGGATCCTAATGTTCTGGCCTAGGGTCATTCATTGAAAATGATGTGTTGAGTATGTTTTGATGGTATACCTTCGCACCTACGTGTTGGCTCTAGCGACTGCTGCATAGGTGGGGTCCGGTGATGGTAAGTATCTCTACCCTCCTTTCATGGTCCTTTCCCCCATCCTTTTGTTTTCTAGGCAGGTGTTTATCCTCATCAAATTTTCCTATGAACGGTTTTTCTATATCGACTATGTTTCCAACTAGTTGTTTCTCATCGATCTCCCTCTTCAATACCGTGCATTCTTTGGTATCTCGAGTTTTGCTTTTATGATATTCACAGAACTTGGTCTTGTACTTGTTCTCCTTTGCTGGAGTCTTGTTGTTTGCATGGACGTCGGTATGAATACTCCTGTTGTCATCTCTGTTGAACGGTCTATACTTCCTCGACATGTGCCTGTAGTGGAGATTGTGCCTCTGTTGGTTGCCATCTTGCATTTCTTGTTGGGCTATGCTCGGTCGGGATGTCGCTTCCTCATGTTTGATGTATTCATTAGCTACATCTTTGAGATCATCCTTAGATCTAGGAACTATTCCTTGCATCTTCCTTGTTAGGGATCCAAGAAGTAGACCTTGGGCGAAGGTACCTGTTACCGAGAACTCTTCATGTCCTAGAACATTCAAGGTAGCTAGCGTGAATCGATCGTAATAGTCACGAATCGGCTCTGCTTCTTTTTGCTTACATTCCATTACAGAGTTAGTGTCCCCTTTTCCTTTCCTCAACTGCATGAAGTTATTGAGGAAAAGGAATTTCAGCTACTCAATACTCGAGATAGTGTCTAGCCTCATAGACTTAAATCACTTGCCTATGTTTCCCATTAAGGTGCAGGGGAAATAAGTTAAGGTGAAGCGATAATCCATCTTAAGAGATGGCATCGTCCACTCATAGTTATTGATGTGTTTATCTGGTTCTGTATTACCATGGTACTTTGGCATGTTCGGTATTATTGCAGTGTGTGAAATCTTGTATGGTAGCAGTTTATGGATGAAATTGGAGCTTGTGCTTCGCATGGGGTTATCCATGTAAGAATACGACATACCGCCATTGGCCATGTGTTGCTGCATCTAGTAGGGGCTAACGTACAACTGGTTATGCATGGCCTCCAGTGAGATGTATGGTTGATACTGTTGTAGGTGTCGTGGTAATCCAAATTGTTAGATTCTGTATTTCCCTGTCGGGGGAGACATATATGGGTTGGCTCCTTTGTACAACTGCGTGTACAGATTGAACGGTTGAGTGGCTACCGCGAATGGGTTGAATTCAGATGCTATTGAGAACAGAACGTCAGATCCATAAGAACTGGATCGCTGATTGGTCAAGGTCTGGACGCTTGTGACTTGCGGCCGTGACAGTGCATGGATTGAACCTGGGGTCTGGTTAACAAACGGGTTGAAGATTGGTGGTTGTTGTACGAATAGCGATGCTTGAGGCAAGCTTGCCATGGAGGCATGTGGGTAGACCATCGGAGGATAATGTGGTTGCGGCTAAATATTGTGAGGGATCTAGGTTCCAGTGCCGGAAGTTTGTGTGAAGGATTGTTGTTGCGAAATAGGGATCTTTGAATGTTGTGTTGCGATGATCTGTGGACTAGTGGTTACGAGTGCTACTTGTGGAGCTGGGTTACCTATTGGGCGCCGTAGGCTGGCTAAGTGAGTTGCCGCTGTTTCAGCTGTAGAGGTGGATGATGTTTGTGAGACTGGTGTGCGGTTTGAAGCGTGCTCTTATTGAACGGAAGTTTTCCCTCCATCTAATTGCTGCATTGGACGCAGTGGACTTCTCTCCGCTATTCTTGATGCCACTGGGATTTCACCTGGCATTGTTGCTATTTGGTTTTGCTTCGTGGATGTATTGTTACAGAGATACGCCCAGATGGTGCCAAACGTTCTATTATCTCGAAGATGGTTGGATTTAGATTGTAGATGAGTTTTGTGTGGGTTCCATCTCCTGTTACCACAGTGCAAAAGGGAAAAATGATCGTTAGCCAACATCTGGGAGGAATTCACTGGACGATGCTCAGACAATCAAGTTAGAATGAGTTCTAAGAGAAGTAAGTGTAAAATCATACGAAAAATATTTCCGTCCACTTCTTTGTGAGGAAGAAGGATCATTTATATACCTGTTTGAGAGGTATGTGCCTCTCAACTGATTTGGTTGTGCATTCCCTCGTGAGGTGTGACGTGGTGGACCCATATTGGAGGATCCTCCGTTACATCTTTTTGCCTCATCTCCTCATTAGTTAGAGGGGAATCTTTAATATTATGATGACCGCATCTATCATCTAATGGGCAAGTAGGACTCTCTTATTGGTCCCACGTTTGACGGGGTATTATTCCTTAGAGAAGAGGTTAAGGCGCGATTTTGCACCTTAAATGCCATGCTAGTGAAATTTTGTATTGGCGAAGGCCCGACCTTGGCCTCTGACTGGGTCTAACCGGGATTTGACCAGGCCAAGCTTGGCGTTAGTTAAACTTCTCCTTTTTTGACATTCTCCCTGAGGGATACATTAACACACATGGTACATATTCTGCCACGTACTTTTCAACATCGAGCTTCATCGTCGGCACCAGTAGTAAGGTTTCAGAACCCTATACATCTTAGTGCTACCGGGATGAATTGAGTACATAGTCGTGGGAGCTCCTTCCATCAGAAGGTCTCTTACTCCTCCCATCTGAGGCACCTAAATCGTATCTTGGAATACCTTTAACACTTTACTATTTGTACCGAATACCAACATTCTGACTAAACATTCTTCTTTTAAGTTATTTTTCTCCAAAGCTTCTTCCTCGGCTTTCTTAATGCTTTCCACAATTTTTGAGACAACTACTATTCTTAATGCTCTTGGCCTCTTTCTTTCTAGGTTTACCTTTCGACTTAGAGCATTAGCTACGACATTTGCTTTACTAGGGTGGTA